ATATTACATTCCACTTTACAGGGTCTCCCTAACATCTCCTGACTGCCCTCATGGTAGGAATCGAGAGGGTAAGGTAGTTGAGTCATAAGTTACTTCCTTTGCTATTCTAGGGTATTATCCCATGGATCAGTAGCTTCCAAATCAAGACGGGGCTGAATTTGACAACACTACAAAACACTTTTGAGAGAGACTGGAATTCAATGGACTAATATTTCCAAATGGGACAGTGGGGTTCTGGGGCCAATAGGGGAAGACTTATGGCTTTGTAGGCACTCAGGTCAAAGAAATCATTGTAAGCTGTAAAGGCTTCACCATATACAGACCAGAGACCTTTGCCCTATGTTCATCTTCATGGGTTAGAAGGAGTGTCTGAGCTGGGCATGAACAGATGCCTCTTCTTGGATGTTAACCCAGTGTGCTTCTCCTTGTAGATATCTCAGGATGAGTAAAAACAGCACACTGCCCCTGTATGAGCTGGTCAAAAAGAGTCTGCTGAAGGGTGAGACCATATCCAGCACCGCTCTTCAGGACCTGCCCACCATGGTCTTCCATGATTTATTCATGGATGCCTTCATGGGGGAATACAATGAAGCTCTGAAGGTGATGGTGCAGGCCTGGCCATTCCCCTGTCTCAAGTTGAAGTCTCTGCTAAATTTAAGGAAATGCAAAATCTCCCACCTTAATTTAGGAGAATGCACACTACAAGAAAAAAACCAACAGACCTTGGAAGCCTTATTGGATGGACTTGATATACAGCTGTCGCAGAAGGTTCAGCACAGGTGAGTGTGACACACAAATACTGTAAATCAGGACTGGAGAGTCCTGGTAAGTGATAGTTGCTTTCAAGAAGCACAGGAGATTATAGTGTGGAGTATCTTGTGATATTAAACAGGATCACAGAGACCTTGGCTTTTGCTTACCCCAACATGGGAAGGGGCTTCTAAGTAAGAAAAATGCAAATTCAGGATGTGCTGAATAAACTCAGGAATACTGATCTTCCTAGTTTCACAAGACTGTAAGTTGAACCAAGCTGCATGTAAAAGTTAAAACCATAGAAAAAGAAAGGCATGAAATGTATGGGTGTCCTACCAATTTGGTTTGAAACTGTCTCATTGCTATTTGTTTCTCAATAAAATTATGGGGAAAAATGTATGGGTGCAAC